TTTCATGAGCTGTAAGCCATAATCATCACAATTATGATAAATCACAGCTTGAACTATCTTGCTTTGCATGTAATGAGTCTAGCTCAGATGTTAGTTTACCTTTTAAATTGCATTACTGAAATAAATGAACTTTTGCACTATATTCTAATTTTTCGAGTTTCATCTGTATGTAGCTTTACAGGTATTTTGGAGGTTTTTAAATGTATCAATCAGGAAAGCTTTTGCCCACCAAAATTTGTACTTGAAATGGATTTTATTCAGTTCTACGTGTGTAGAACTACATGTGAGAGCTTCACTGCACTCCTGTACTTCTTCCAAAGTAATTAGATTTCTAGAACTGCAGCTTCCATTGATTAGCTCTAGCAAAATGTCAACCGCCCTGATTTTAAAAAAATGATTAGAAAATAATTAAACCCCTTTTTATTTGGGTTGTTTTGGTTCTGGCAGTTTTCAGAAATCACCCATTGAAAGTTTAACAGCAGTATCAGAAATGCAATTTCTTTCTGCTTTCTGGGCAGAGGGAAGAAGAGGGTATCATCACATTGTTCCCCTGCCCAGGGGATAAGTAACTAAATAGTAAGTCCAGGTGCTAAAAAACTGACCTCTCTCTGCGATGTAAGCAAATAGAACGGCCGGGATGGATAAGAAAAGTTTGATTGGCTTCTAGTCCTCATCACTTTCTTCTCCCTAAATTCCCTCTACCTAAAGATTATGCAACATTTCAGCGTGCCAGATTTTCAGAACACCATGGAATTCTTGGCGTATTTGGCCAAGCGACAGGGAAAGCTGAAAAAAGGAGGAATGCCAGACCATGAGAAGGCTGCCAAAACGGTGCTAAATGACTGGACGAGGTGAGTGGAAGATAGGATCTTTTTTTAATAAAAAGAACAAAGTTCTTGAGCTTTTTGCAGGAACTGTCTTTGATGCAAGCCTCTTTCTTCCTTTCTCTTTGTCTTATTCACCCGGCAGATCTAATTCAAGTGGGGATTGAAATCATGAAAAGAAGAAAATAATAGGAACTACTACAAAAGTATTGGGGGGGGGGTGGTAGTGGTAGTAGGAAGCTTTTCCTTTTCCCCCTTGTGACCTCTAGACTGGACTACTGCAACGTGCTCTACATGGGGCAGCCCTTGAAGAGCATTCGGCGACTCCAGCTTGTCCAGAATGCAGCCGCGCGAGCGATCGTGGGTGCACCTATCCTCCGCGAGCTGCACTGGCTGCCTATTGGTCTCCGGATACGCTTCAAGGCGCTAGTCGTCACTTATAAAGCCCTACATGGTATCGGACCTGGCTACTTGAGAGACCGCCTCCTGCCAATTACCTCCCTG